ATAAAGAGGGTTGTGTTTTCTGACACTTGGTGAGTTCCCTGGAACACCGGGGACACATATTCATGTATAAAAGACGTACAAAAGTGCATTTTGCATGATAGGTCACCTTTAAGTAAAATGTAATTAATTGTACTTTACTTGAGTATCTTAACTTTATGCTATTTTTTACTTCTTCTCCACTACAATTTGTAGGCAAGCGTTGTACTTTTTACTGCACTTATTTTACAGATTTAGTGACTTGTTACTTTGCACATTTGGATAATTAATACAACATATGAATCAACTAGTGTAATATCATATATTATTATAGGTTATGCTACCCAGTATATGTGAATAAACTCTACTTTCATCATGGAATCAACACATAAATGCATCAATAATTATGGTAGAATATTTAAATATATAAGGTGTATGAATAGGCCCTTGCCCTCATAATGAGGACTACTATTTTGAGGCCAAAACGTTTGTAATTTTACTCAAGTCAAGGCAGGACTTTTACTTATAGGGTAGTATTTCTACACTGTATGATTGCCCTGCTGAAAAAAACAGCATAGGCTATACCAGTTTAAGATGGTTGCTGGTTTTAGCTGATGTACCAGGCTGGTCTTGCTGGTTCAAGACCAGCCTGGTCAGCTAAACCAGCATAGCCCAGCATGGATGTCATGCTGGGCTATGCTGGTTTTAGCTGGTAGTTAAGCTGGTCTATGCTGGGTGATGTATTTATTGCCTGGTCTAGCCCAGGAAGTCTTCCGGCTGCGAAGCAACTGAAAACAAGACACAGGACAGACCGAGAGGACGGAGCCACGCGGAACGTGGAAGACGGGGCCGAGTTGGTTGAACAAAACGCGGTATTAACAACGAATGGTTTTGAACTGGCACACACCGGTCGGGGAAGTGGGAAAGATAGGTTGAGCGTTGTCTGTGACGTCCGCCCAGCGGCGGCGCGGGCGGAGAGGAACCGGGCTCTGAAGCCTGTCTACTGGGAACGCGGACTGAGTCCTTTCTGGAAAGCAACAGCGAGCGGCAGCGAATGGTCAGCGCAAGTCTGAGGCAAAAGCTTTTCTTGAAGGGTTTGTTTGGCTTTCGTTACAAGTTATGTTTAATGTTTACCCTTCAGTGGGTATCTCTAAAATGGGGGGGAGGGGGGGGGCAGCAGAAGGCATCGCCAGGGGCGCGAGAGACCAGGGAAAAGATGGATATAAACATTTTTAAAAAAAGATTAAAAACAAAAAAAACGATAAATTGAAAAATTATTGATTCGAAAATAATATGATGCAGTGACTATTACGTCTGCGGTTCTCTGTTTTTCATTTAGGCTGGCTCTGTGTGTGTGTGTGGTGGAACGAGCCAATTTGTGTGCGCGAGAGAGAGAGAGAAGGAACGAGACGAGAGAGAAGCTCACCGCGTACCGAGATCGTTGTTTGATTGCTTCTGGTGCTAGCGAGCTACAGTTTAACGGAGGTGCTATAAGGAGTTTTTTCAACAACAAAGTGGAGGAGAGTCCTCTACCTGTCAGACTGAGAGACTCAGTGAACTAAAGGACTCCCTCAGTGTTATCTCAGTGGGTCTCAAAGGCAAACGAGGCACACGTTTATATAATCATTATATTTATAAAAAAATAAGAGAATAAATGAAAAACAGGTATGAAATAGGCCTACTATATCCTGACTAAGGTGCTTTTTCTTTGACATTTTACAATGTTAACCGCATATGATTCACAAAAAGCTGTGTCTGAGTCCTTATTGTGAGAAAGTATGGAGCAATTTATTTTTTGCCAGAGATTTGGTTTGTAGCGGTCAAACGTGACCGTGCGCTATACACAGTGGTTGTTAAAGCACCATATTAACATCTCATTAACCACTAACCTTACATCGTGAAATGCTAGAGGGGGTAGGACCAGAAAAGTTTTTTTTAAGCTTCTTCTTGCCCCTGTTGAACGGGACAGACTATTTGAGAATATTTTTGTTGTACTTTGTTATAATTATTATTATAAGTAAAAAACAAAAAAATGTATATATTATTATTATTGTTTATTGTAATACATTTACAACAAAAATAAATAAAGTCAATTATTATTTATTTTTTATTTCATACACCAATCCAGTATTATGTTCATTTGTAAGGCACTCATATCGAAAACAAAACTAATTATTTCTGCTGCCACTAGATGGTGCTTTATAAGTACTTGAGGCCTTTTCAATTGTTTTATTATTTTGACTGAATTTGTTTCAGTTATTTGTGTATAATTTTCCCTAACGTGTTCCTTATGTATTCAATAACTAAAACATTCTAGAAATATACTATATATTTCTGAATGGTGGGTAATACTTTACACGCACTACTTTCACAACTTGTGATGCATTTTTTCAAATATGGTGCCAAAGTCTGTGTTTTATCCCTGTATAAAACTGCAAGGACAAGTGAAACCAAGGCTCTGAGATAAGAAGAAACATTTCTGTCAAGGGTTTTTATTGCAGGATCTTTCTTATCAGGATAATGTTAAAAAGTGATTAGCTAAACCGTTTGGTCAGTGACACTTGTTGGTGTACATTCCAGTGTGCCACAATATATTATAAGCAGCTGAGGAGGGGAAACAATTATAATAAATATCTTATTTATTCCAATACAAAAGTTTTATCAGAATCAAGAACACAATGTCCATTGATAAAACACTGCATGCTTACTGAGGGCTACAACCACAAGGTGGTGCTACTGTAAGTGGTAAATTAACCAAATTATGCTTTATGTCAGGGGTGTCAAACTCAAGGCCCTCATTTTATGTGGTCCGCAAGAGCTTGCAAAGAATATAATATACAATACAATTGGTGTAGTTGTTGGATATTTGCTTTCAATTATTTGACTATAGACTTCTGCTTTCAGACGTATGAAGTTATTACCAGAACGTTTAATAATCCAATGCAGAGCCAATAATGTAATATAATACATTATTTAATGCATATTATATATGTATATTTATATAGTCTTAAAGTTACAACCGGCCCGTTGAGTGCAACCATAATGCTAATGTGGCCCGCAATGAAATTGAGTTTGACACGCCTGCTTTATGTGAAAGAAACCTCTGCACAGTTTGAAAGGGTTTATAACTAGAACTGTACCTTGATGTAAAGTAGTAGATTCGATACCATATTTAATATTAAATGAAAAAACTGTGAATGTATCTTTGCTGATATGACTTGTTAGCTCTTATGACTACAAGATCTACTAGAGACCTCACAAAGGAAACTCTACATAAAGGAACTAGGGCAACCATTTCACAATGTTTCAAAGCCCGAAAATAATAAGCTACAAAGCTTTCTTGTATCATTAGCAGATATTTGGAAGTGGAAGTAGCAAACCCACACCCACCCACCCACACGGCAACAAGCTGATGGTGTTAGTTTCAGAAGAGGACACTGCTGGTTAAAAATGCAAATATGCAGCCAAAGCAGCTAAACCATTGACACTTGAAAAATTGACATCAGCTGTTAGATTTAGTGGATTGTGGATGTTAAATATTGTGGGTTTTTTATTTTTATATTGGCTTTATACCCCTTATTGTTCTATAATCCCATGCAATGCATTAGTAAAGTTAAACATGAATACTTTATTGAAACCAAAACTGTAAAAAAAGTATTATGAGTAAATCCTCCCTTTTGACACAAACTGGTCTTTCAGATTTGAATGTGTTGACTGAAGATCAAAATTTAAGCTTTAAACATTGTTATATCAGCAATTTTATGGTAGAGCCAATGTCGTAGGTTGTTACAAGTACAAACATGTTAGCATCCAAATACACATAGAATTGTCAATTTCAGCATAATCTTATTTGGCCAAGTGTGTGTACATTAACAAGGAATTGTACTCTTTATTATTGCTTTCAAAGTACTTAGATAAAAAAGTGACAGCTGAAACAAGGTATTCAAAGCTGAACAAATTAGGTGAACAGAAGAACAAACATATTTAAACATGTATTCAAGTGAAAGTATTATAACGTGAAAACCATACAAATAAATACTTAATGCATACAAATGGACTCGAAGAATATTGTTCTTTTTCATCGGGCCTATAGTCTTGACTCTTGTGAAAACTCAGTCAAGAAAACTTGATGTACAGTATGTGCATGTATAGATGTCTTTATAACCTACATTATAAAACTGAAAAGTAAAATCAAGCAATCTGATTGGTTCTTAGTCGTGATATAATGAGCGTATATCATGGGTAGAATTGTAGTTACTTTTCACAACAAGTCAGTATCCCTCCGCGTCTGAAAAAAACTGTATACAGTTGGGCTCAAAAGCAAACTGCATTCTTCGCGTCGGGCCGAACCACGCCCCTCAGCAGTGATATAATGAGCATATATCACGCCCTGTCGTGAGCTATTGCTTAAGCATATGTGATTATAACTGGATTGACGTGTGTAGTAAATAATTTCTTTGTTATAACTGGCATCGAGTTCTATACATGAATCATAATTATTATATAATGTAACATGATGACATTATGCAATGTATATTATTTACTATGTTTATGTGTAGGTCTATTTCAGCTTTTTCTGCCTTTATTGACGTTTCTAATAGATGTATATCTTTCTATGTATATAATCACTGTATGTTTTCATATTTGTTATAATATGAATGTATGTGCAATGCCTATGCTGCTATAACAAAAACAATGGCTCACTTTTGGACCATTCAACTAAATCTAATCTAATGACAGTTACTTTTTGCAGCCTATACTTTACATACATACACTTTACGTTTGTTTCTTGTTGACATAATTAATTAGCTCGTCTGTAAAGCTCTCATCACATGGTTGCAAAGCTGCTGCCATACAGGGCCATTAATCCGTCCACCTGCTGCAGACTAGCACAAACATGTGTTGATCAAAACACCGTGAACCTGCAGCTTCATCTTCAACAGACTCCGGTTTTGTCCGTTGCGGCTTTTTTGTTGTTGCTGTTTGATAAACGAAGGCGTGTCCAGGAGTCATGCATATAATAGCCAGACGAGCTGCTGCGGGCTTCAACTCTCTTTGCTCCAGCAGACTCTCCGGTAGCATGCTCTGTACGATGGCCCAATGTCAGGAAGTGGTATTCAACAAGCCAAAGGTACGTTATCAGCAGATGGAACAACATGACAGCATTAATGGTTAACATGTAAAGGTATTTGTTATATAACGGCGTAATTTTTCCTGGTTTTACGCACGTTTTGACTCCCGTAATCTCTGTTTGGGTGCTCATGAACAAAAGAATGACAAGAAAATGCTTGGAAACGTTAAAAAAAAAACTAATTTGAGCTTTAAAAAAAAATACATTGGGCCATAGCTTATAGAGCTTTCTGTTTGTGTATAAAACACGGAAGCTTGCAGTTTGACATGTGACTACCCGGCTTTTCACGCAACACACAGACACTGTGATGAATGAAAAACGCTTTTATAAGTGTTTTTCTATTCATTGTGCAAGTCGACACACCTTTAACATTTTTGGTCTATATATACAATGTTTGCCATGGAGCAAATAAATAAGGCTGATTTTGTGAATTTGGATCCGGCTTCTTAACACCTTGTCTTCTGCATTAGCGTAATACAAGCTTGTGGGAATTCCTTTTAATTCATGAGAGCTTATTCACACTGCAATACAAACACATACAGAAAAATATTATTACTGCATAATCTTTGCTTGAATTCTTTATGGTAGTTATTTTTATTGGCTGGTATAGAACTGGCTTTCATAACAATGCCTTGAAGTGAAATGCCCCTTTAGTTTACAGCTAGTTGCATAAGCACATTAAGCACTCATGTGTGAAATGTAAACTCAGTGTTCAGTGTAACCTTTGGAGTGCTGACTGAGCAGGTACCTGGTGCACTAGAAGCTGACAGCTGATAAGAGACAGGAAATGACAAACTCACTAAAAAGAGTGAAGTGGGCTCTGTTTCCGTGTGTGTCCGTGTGTGTGTGTGTGTGTGTGTGTGTGTCCGTGTGTGTGTCCTGTGTGTGTGTGTGTGTGTGTGTGTGAGAGAGAGAGTGAGAGTGAGAGTGAGAGAGAGAGAGAGAGAGACCGATCATGAATTATTAAAGGAGAGGCCACAGGTCGGTGGAGACTGCTTGCAGAGATAGTCTCATTAAATATTCATTTGCTTTGTGCAAATTATACCCCCATCCGTGCTTCATACACTTACTAAAGTAACAATATGACTACACAGTCATGATCAGTGTGTGCTCATGTTATAAATGGAATTGATAAGAAACAACAACCAATAATTACTTTCAAGTAGTGTTTAATCTCCTGATTATTGCCTCAATAATTGCAGGAAAAACCTGTGCATATTTGTATTTGTTATTTAAAAAAATGACCTGGAAGATAAATCAATAATGAAAATAGTTTATGTTTTATTTTCTTTCAATCAATCAACTATTTGCTTTGGTCAAATATCTGTATAGGTTTACAGTGATATACAACTGGATCAGATAAGGAAACAAAAAAGTGTCAAAACCTTCACAATTGAGAAACCTAAACTACAATATGCGTGCCGCTTTCTTTTGTAATATTCTCTGGTTGCAATAAGCTTCTGATTCTATACATTTTTAACAAATACAAAACTTTAATAAAAACGGATTCTGGTCGAAGGCAAAAGGTTTTATTGGTTGAGTTACAACTGTAATTTGGTGCGGTGCTTTTCATTAACTATACATGATGAACAATGTCATTAGTATACAATTACTTATATAAATCACCACATTGTGCTGCAGGAAGTGCAGTGTGTACTGAAAGAGTATCCTGCTGTTGTTTATGGGTTAACCAGCTGCAAGCGGTCTCATCACATCAGGCTTTTAAGGGAAGAAAATAGATGTAAGCAACATAGAGGCTCGAGCTGCTAACATATCTCTTCTTGGTGTAAACATTTTATCTCGATCTTTTCTAGGCTTGAAGGCTGAGCTGATTAATTCCATTTCAATTGATGAATAATTATTGATTGTTGTAGCACGAGAAATATTGAAAAGCTGATGACTGACGTATTTCTAACAGGATTTTATTCATGTTTTAGTTGGTCGTTATTGTTTTGACTTTAAGATGTAGTCATTTATTTATCATTGACTGCTCTTTTTTAATCTCTATGGATCCAACATGTTTACTGACATTTTAACTAATGTTGAATTTTGTTTTAACATTCAGTTGATCATCCATGTTGGATCACTCAGTCAAAAGTTATTAGTGAAAAAACAAGGGCCTTGAAGTTGGCAGTACTAAATCACTATCCCAAATAAAGTCTTGCTGAAGCAGAAGAAAAACAAGCTGCTTCTTATTCACAACCACACTCATTTGATTTTCTTCTTTCCAAACCACAAAATATGAATTCAATATCTGCTGTCAGATTTTGTTTTCAGTTTGAACACACCCTGACTGATGTACAAAAATAAGACTTCAGAGGAGAAGCGTAAATATATCCGTCATCTGTCTGAATAAAGCTCTCGGCGCTTGAAGGAGAGCCAGAACATTCAACTAGTTTAACCCTTCCCTTGCCTCGAACCACTCGCTGATCAGTCATGTCGCTGCATTCACAATGGGTGGCAGCTAAAAGACTGAATTGCAACCGCACCATCAAGGAACGTTTGCTCAGTTTTTTCCCTCTAATCTTTAGAACTACTTTTGATTGACAGGTTAATAAAACATTTTGATTAATCTTCCTCCTCAACAGGTTGAGCTTCATGTGCACCTCGATGGAGCCATCCGGGTGCAGACCATTCTCGATGTTGCCAAGTGAGTCGTTAAGAAAATATAATTGTTCCTTTGTGAAGTTTGAAACGCTACTCCACCCGTTTAATTGAATACAGTATTTATAAATATTAATAATGGATAAGGTAACTATAGAGCACCAGCTTATAGACATTCTAGCATTTTAGAGATATAATGCTCGAGCCAATAAGCAATAGGAAATTAAAACTGGAAGTGCCCGTAAAAGCCAAATTGATGAGTTAAAAGATGCTAAAGTACTAAAGGGATAATACAGGATACATTGGGTCAAGATTCTCTGTTTGAGCAGCTTTAACTACAAAAGCTTCAAAACATCCCACAACAGCAACCCACTGTTCATCTTTAAAGGGGCCCTTTTATGCTCTTTTGGGGTTTTCCCTTTTCTTGTAGTGCGTAAACTAACTGCATGTAAATGGTGCGACTGCCTGAAACACCTCCATTTGACTCCTTTGTTTACTACCTGAACATAGTAACGTCACTACGTAACACTTGCGCTCCTATTGGCTAGCGCTCCGACACATTGAACGTGATAAGCTAAGGGGCGGAACATCTCTAAGTGGTTGACCAATCACAACAGAGCTAACTAAACAACCAGGTAATCAATCGGAGCAGACTGGGCTCTGGTTTCAGACAGAGGGTGAAAAGAAGTACTGCAGCACAGGCAGCATGAGAAAAATAAAGAGCTTTTTGAACATTAAAACATGGAGACATGTCACAGCAGAGGCACCAAATACTAATATGAACCTGAAAATGAGAAAAATAGGGCCCCTTTAAGAGTTTGTCGATTTTGGGATACATTTAAAATAAGTACACCTTTAAATGTCAAAACTGTCCCTGAACTGTTTCATTTCCCCCCTCACTTTTCTCCAGGAGACGCGGCATCCATCTGCCAGCGAACACCAAGGAGGAGATGACGCAGATTATTATCCTTGAAGAGCCGGCCACCCTCACGGAGTTCCTGGGGAAGTTCGCAACGTACATGCACGTGGTTGCGTAAGTGCTGACATTTAATTTGAGTTTAATTAGTGCCAAAGGTGTTTTCTTGCTGAACAGGTAACAGGGAGTGCAAACTGCCAGATTGGAAGTGATTAAGAGTCAGGGTTCACTTTGTTAGTGTTGCAGGAAGGTTTCCCCATCACCTGTATGAGGGTAAATGTCCAGGCAGCAAGCAACACACATGCACAGTTATATTATCTGAGTTATGATGCATTTGAAGGGTTAAAAGCGGAGTGTGCAGTTTGTGATTGATGATGGGGGAGTGGATTTTAAATGCCAGACATGCGGAACAGGAACACATCTTTATCGAGATCAAGTGACACCCTGGCAACCAAACTAAGAGGAGAGTAGAGTCTTTCCGGAGACTTATATTTAGTCCTCCAGTGACAGGGCTGCTGAACTGTTAAGAAAAGACCAAATAAAGACACAAAAAAGCGACCAACAATGACGGTCTGTAGAGGCCGGGCTGCAGCGCGCAGTTCTGCTGAATGGCCCCTGTTGTATCGAGGCTCTTGAAAGCCCTGTGTCCAACAACATAGGGAACATGCTAGCTGAGTTTAGCGCATGCAGAATTGTTGTATAAGCTCAGTGGCTGATGTGTGTGCAGGGGGTTAAGGAGAGGATGCTGGAGAACAACATGCATTCAGACCTGTGTGGATGCTGGAAGCTGTGTTGTACGTCATGTGATGTGGGAAAGGAAAGGGTGAAATGGAGCTGTGTTCTTTCTATTATTGTCACAACACTAAATCATGCCGGCAAGACAAACTAAAAATATTGAAGCTGAAAATGTTTAAGGTTTGAATGAAAATGTTTGTGGCGAGGAAGGGCGCCTGAAAAAAACTGTCTTTTTAAAAACAAAATCTGCACAGCTCTCCACTTTTAATTATAGTATTTTTTATATCTTGTTATATTTATGTTTTGTGTGGATATTCACTTTATTTTTTATCTGATATAATAGTCATCAAAATTGTTATATAATTGCTCTATTTTTGCTCCTTTTACTACAACTTTTCCCTTTTTCTTTGTTTATTTATGCACCATTTAAACCATAGCAAGTTCCTCATATGTGTAAACTTGGCAATGAACCCAATTCTGATCCGGATGTTGCTCAAATATTTTCTGGTTAGTTTCCTGATCGAGCAGTGAATGAACCAATCGTTGCAGCTCTTACAAACATTCTTGCAAATGCATCAATTAGTATAAGCGGTTGGCAAGGCTAACTTTATATGACACATTTTACTTTGCTGTGTTGTAATGGCCAATCAATCCTTTATGACCTGTGGCACAAACTAATGCTGCCTTTCTAATGCAATTTGAAGTATTTGTCAGAAGGGAAGCTGAATACATTTAATAAATCCTACTCTTCTAAAAGTCACACTAACCTCCATTTAGCAAAAACAATTCCCCAGTCAGTTGCATACAGTATTTCACTTTTCCCCGCTACCTCTTTAAATCCTTAAGTGTATGTGGAAAATAGTTTTAAATTAGTCCCATGAAATCAGTATAAGCCTATTAGTGAGTCATAACTATTTGAAAGATGGTGCACATTATGTGTGAGGTATTTCAATGAAATTAATGCTATGATATCAGTGACTGTTAATTATTAAACTGCTAGATTTAAAAGCTATCATAGTTAATATGATGAATTAGCTGTGTCTTATTTGTACATCTGAGATAACAGATTTCATTTCAAACCTTTATTTAACCAGATTGGTCCCTTGAGATCATAGATATATTTTTCAAGGGAGACCTGCAGCCAATAGGTTCCACATGAAACATAAAACAATAAAGGACATCATACATTATATTTACAGGCTATATTTACATAGTTATCGATATTTACAAGTACCCATGGTATCAAAAATCATTTCATTTAGCCTAGCTTTAAAAACATGCAGAGGAATGAGATTGCTCAGTTTCAATTCTTGCTGAAGATTGTTCCAAGCAAGTGGAGCTGCGCACATAAAAGCTGTCTTACCTAAGACAGTCCTTGCTCTTAGCACATGTAACAATACTACATCATGCGATCTCAGAAAATAGCTGCTTGCAACTCTCTGTGTTATCAGAGAGCAGATATGAAACGGTAGTTTACCCAACATGGCTTTATAATCAGAGCCAAAGGTCAATGTCATTAATATTTTATTTTTCTTTGTTGTTTTTTCCAGTGGCGACAGAGAGGCCATAAAGAGGATAGCCTATGAGTTTGTTGAAGACAAAGCCAAGGAGGGGGTGATTTATGTGGAGGTCAGATACAGCCCACATTTTCTGGCTAACACAAAAGTGGATCCCATACCATGGGACCAGGAAGAGTAAGTCATTTCTGTAACTTTTAATTGTTTTAGGCAGGGATATATTAAGCTTAACTCATTGCGTGTTTTTCAGAATCAGATCCTCTAGTAGTCACACAGAGGGGAAATGTACATTGTTACAGCAAAAGTAAAGTGGCAAAATGTTAAATAAGAGATATGCATAAAATATTGAAGATAAAAATTAAGAATTATAATTTACAAAATTACACGTCCAGGTGGACCACTATAAGTACAGTAACAGTATTTAGCAAGTGTGATAGCATCCAGATAAGTTAACAGTAGCACAAATAAAAGTATATATTGCACAGTTATGACAGATTGTCTTACAGTAGTTGAATTGCCTAACTAAGAGATCGCATCCTGTAAAAATACATGATATAAGCGGTATTTATATGTATACTGCACATAAATCACAGTCATTGTTTCCTCCACTCAGAGGGGACCTGAGCCCGGACGAGGTGGTGCGCCTGGTAAACGAGGGCCTCAGTGACGGGGAGCTGGCCTTCAATATCAAAGCCAGGTCCATTCTATGCTGCATGCGCCACATGCCAAGTAATGAACTGTTGCCTGTCTGCCCAAACATCTTTGTGAGATAAGGCTCCTAATGTACTGTATTCTGCGCTGTCTCTAAGCTGTTGTTATTAGATAATGAGTAAGAGCAACACAGAAAGACAGAAAAAGCAATATGCTCAAAATGACAATGCTAACATGTGGATTTGAAGCTGGTTTAATTTACATGTTTACTAACTAAGTTTAGCGTGTTAGCATTCTAGCACTTGCTAATTAGCGTTAAGTAAAAAGACAGAAGCTAATTTCATTACTATTGCGGGTATTTAGTTGAAAATGAAAGAAAAAATGACAATTTATAACTTTGCCTTGATAGTGGCCTTAGATGAAATGTTGGGCGATCACCAAGTTCTTAGGATATATCCTCAGGGGACTATGAATGTCTCTACTATGTATCATAGCAGTCCATTCAATAGTTCTCAAGATATTTATGTTAAAGAAAAAAAATGTCAAATGGTCGGTGGCGTTAGAGAATAAATCAGGGTTCAATTCATAAGTATTCATCCTCTGGGGATAGCAATTGTTTGACAACCAATAGTTGTTGATATATTTAAATCTGGACTAAAGTTGTGAACCAAAGATCAAANTGAGAACAGCACCATCTGGTGGCCTGAAATGTGTGCTACAGCGTCTCCAGAACTCCACCAATCAGGAGGAGACAGCCACGGACATTGCCGTTCGAAAGCGCTGGAGACGCTGTAGCACACATTTCAGGCCACCAGATGGTGCTGTTCTCACTGAATCCGAGCATGAAAGGCAGTGTTAAATTGAACGAAATGAGGAATGGATAAAATGCATGATCTGTTTGGTATTTTGAAAAATGAAAAGTATAAATATGCCTTATATAGGTATGGTCCTACATTATATTATTCAAATATAGCATGATAGGTCCACTTTAAGTACAACTTGAGTGCATGTACTTAGTTACATTCCACCAAGACTCTCCGTTTATCTCTATTTGGTTGCAACCAGTAAGCAGTTTTTGTAATTGTCTTATACATCTATATTTTTTATTATATTTTTTATTATATCATAACTTAGTACTTTTTTTTAACATATGTAACATTAAGCGGTCTGTGGCTCTTTCCTGCTGTAACGAAGCAAATGTCCCCTCTGTGGGACTAATAAAGGTATTCTGATTCTGATTGTTTGTCTTACAAGGCCGATCAAATAGGATGTGATGAGACAATTAGTTGCTGTTGTTTTCTTTTGTTTAACTTCGGCCAGCTTTCATCCTGTTTCTGGTCTTGATGCTAAACTAAACAAACGTCTTTTAGCTGCATCATCATCGGTCAGCTTTTCAATATTTTGAGATATTCCTGTAAAACTGTACAATAGCGTTTCCTGCAATAACTACATTGGCAGGACATAATGTGAGCGTACACTATTTGACCAAAAGTATCACTAACACCCACTTGTTTTTTCTTTGGGAAGACTTTCCCACACAAATGTTGGGCAATAAGGCTCTCAGTCTGTTTCAGTAAATCCCTATAAGGTGCTGAGTTGGATCGAGTTGTGTTCATCAGTTTTCTTATACAAAACCGTTCCTCCTTTGTAGGACATGTTCATTCCCTGAAATGTTGCCACAAAGTTGGAGTTATATGATGGGCAGTGACTTCCTAGGGTCTTGCTAAACATAGTCTGCACTTTTTCGTGCGGATAATGTGTGTAGTTAATTTTGTAACTGTTAACTTTTTCAGTCTTTATGCTAAACTACATATGCAAACATAATGTTAATAAAGCTGGCTTATCCAGAGTTAAAAATAAACGAAGATAAACTGAGAATAGAGTTGTAGTAGCACAGGCAAATCCGTAGTACGTAGTACGGGTCGACGTGCTTCACTTAAAATGACCTACCTGGCCTTCAGACTTGTGTCCAAAAAATGAAGAAGACTTTTTAACGTTGAGTCAGTTGATGGATCTCCAGTCTCAAAACAGCTCTCTGGTTTGTTGGATCTGTCAGAGTGCTGCTTGGACATGGTGGCAGAGTACAGCCGATATTTTGGTCAAAGACAAACCTTGCCCCAGGTCTTCAGCTCACCTTCTACTACAACTACCTGTCCACTCCTTAGAAGAAACATGACTCTGAGCTGTCCTAATTACAGACAATTGTGTCTGGACAGCTTTTCAGAAGGCCAGTGATTGTTGGTCTGGGTTGCATAATCCCCTGCTATATAAATGTCCAGCAGGGGGCAGTGAAACATAACTTAAATTATATTATATATTTGCTGTTTTGTTTTGACAATTGAAACTAAAGTGGGGTCAAGCTAAACTATGAAAACAGCCTCAAACCAGAAGTAGGTCCACACAAGATATGGACATGCTTTCTGCCATATAGTGTTGGATAAGTACTCTAGTTGGGATACACTTTGCTTTTTTAAATTGTAAAGCATGCAGTCAGAGGTTATTTAGAAGAAAATGTTTTACATTTTGGTTTTTATCGTCTGCATTTAAATATAGGTCAAGACTTGATGATTATAGCTGTGTATTAAACCTTCATTATGTTCAAATCTACCCATCCATCAAACCTGAGATCTAGATTTAGTCCCTGACCAATTAACCCATTTCATTTTGAATCCACCTTCCTTATTTCACTACTGGTTCTATCATCTACAGAGCAGCATTGATTTGGTCTGTGTGATGGAGGAGGGTCTCTTGCTTTTCTTGTGTTGAAGTAACCGTTTAATATGACACTAAAATGTCCTTATTGTATCTTCATATTCTGTCGAGTACAACAGACATATCTTCACAGCAGACCATCATCAACTACCCTTACTTGGCCACTAGAGGTCTCTTTGACCTTTCTAAACAAGTATTTGTTCAGCATCTGATTCAAGAGCGAGTGAAATGGCACTGAGGGTTAGAGCTTTGTGTTCCAGAGCAAATCATGACACATAAACATGACTTTTTTTCACAGCGGACATTATAACTTGTCATAGAAGGTAAAATGGGGGTTTTGTGTCACAGTGTAAGTGTAGTCAGTATGCACAGTAGCAAAGCAGCTAATTCAGGTTTAAAAAATCATGGTTTTCATTTTTAACACCTGTGATTTGTTATTTCCCTTGAACAGAAAATATGACTACAGTAATGACTCACTGCCATGTCGTTTAGACTGGGGGAGGGAAGAGGAAGTGTCACACTGATAAAGAAATGTGGGTTCAATCCTGTATTTTGGATGATATCATTGATGGCAGTAACCCACCTCTTTAATTAGGGGCCTTTAACATCACAGTTAGAGATCATATTACACCTTCACACAGAGATCTATACCAGAAACTAATTAAAATAATTCAGGAAATCTATAAACATGGTGAAGGTGACTATGCATGCTGTTTTCAAAAGTTAGGAGACGTACTTTGTGTCTGAACAACGTTTTGTTCATGAGTTATTGATCCGTGAAATCCGAATCTGCCAATATCGTTCCAACTTTACTCAACTGTTTTCAAATTACCAGTGAGAAAGCAACAGTAGATTCTGTTGCGCTTCATTACTGAACCAATTCACCCGTAATTCAGTTATAGACCACCGTGTCGTGTTCAGCGATCACTGTTTTTTCTCAGCACTGCCAACAACCTTTATACTCATGGATTCTGAGCTGTACTTAAAATCTTGTTGGTGTTATCACCGGACATGAATAATTCAATTTACCAAGATATGAACAATAACATGTAGTGTTGCTCCACACTGTTCCAAAACATTCAACAAATCATGCAAATTGAAGCTGAATTCTTCCAAAACTAGTTTAAATGTTTCTCTAACAATATCTTGGTAGTGTATCTCTTATTCTCCTAAAAGTTCCCTCCTATGGGTCCGCTGCTTACAATAATAGTTTCCAGGACAGTGATTAAGAAACTCCTGAGTGAGCATCCTGTGTTTCAGCTGTCGGCAGAATATATCTTCCCCATAACTCATGTTAATGCACAATCTCAGCAAAAAATATTGACTTTGTGTACCTTGCTAGGAAGTGGTCACCTTCATGAATTGAGTCTGTGTTCCTTATTTATTTGTTCCCATTTATTTTTAGCAACTGTTGCTCAAATTGGATGTGTTGGTTTTGGTGTGTCAGTAAATGCTATTTCCACACTGTGTTGCTGCAATTATCTCTCCACAAACAAGTCCTGAACTCAGCCATGGGCAAAGAAAGTTCTGCATAATGGAGAGGATGATGAGCCAGCAATATGGAGACATAGTTGTTTACATACCCCCGTATTGCAACCATTGTGTCAGGGGATTTATAGCAACATAATTGTAGCAAAAGCAGGAACAAGAATCTGCATGCTAGCGTCTCTGTGAGGCTGTACAAAATGCTAAAATAAGCATGATAAAAGTAAGAATGCTAATCCAATGATAAACTTGTATCATGTTAACAGTTATCCCCATGTTAATGTAGCTTAGTGTCTATACTCTATGCATTACATTAATGCACACAATGTTTTATTCCAATCCATTGCAATGTAACTGTATACTGTTATATTTGACTATTATTTTTAATATATAGTTCTCTACCTTTGCTTTTAATTCTTGTTTTACTTTTATGTATGCACCACGACACCAAGTCAAATTCCTCGTACTTGTAAACCTGGTAATAAACCTGTTTCTGATTCTGAGTGTAATACAGTATTGTGGGCTGAGTGTTGCAACTGATTTCCGAGATGGATTAGATTTCAATTTGATTTGATTCAATATTAATTTAATCAGGGATATTTATATTTCAGTTACAATTCTCCCTGGAAATGAAAGAGATTTGCATCGAACAAATGCTCTAAGAAGTTACCTGTTGCTTTGTTAAACATATTGATGAACACTGTTTGAAAGTTTGTGCCAATCCATGTAGTAGATGTTGATGAATTTTATTTCACTGTAACCTGTTGTTTGCACCATTTGTAAAGCTGGGGGCTCAAGTATTCTACACACCGATTCTCTGTTCAAAAAGTCATAACAAACCCACCAAATAGTTGTTGGAAAAATGCAGTATTTCAGACCAAATGGGTGTACAGGTTGCCGGCCCAAGATTGATATCGCCGTCCCTATAGAAAGCAGATTAGGAAACAATTTAAAGCTACATAAATACTGCACATAATGTTCCTAAGTGGCTGCACAGGTAGAGCAACATTCATTGGGTTTTAATACCACATGTGATGTTGTACAGACAGTCGTTTCCACATTTTCTAATCCATCTGTCAGTGCAGCTGTTACGATGAGTAGGTGTGAATGAGTGTCTGGACGG